CATCTCATATGTACAAAAAATATTGTATTCCTAATAATGAATAAACATTTTGTTTTACATGTTCAAACATATATTCTGTTGCGAATATTAGATAAATATGTGTTTTATCTACGGAAAAACATATTCTGTTGCGAATATTAAATAATGACTGTATACCCAGATAGCACAGGAACAGGACCGTCTTATGTACGTCCATGGAACGTCCGGTGCTGGACATTCCCAGAACGTTTTCTGTACGTCCATGGGACGTCCGGTGTTGGACATTTCCAGAACGTTTTCTGTACGTTCTCTGTACGTCCATGGGACGTGCGGTGCTATCTGAGATAATAATATTAATTAATATTAATTTACAATTGTAAATAGTGTATTTTATATTCGGAAAAAAATATTCAGTTCTACATATTGGATAAATATTATATTATAAATAATATTAATAAATAATATTTATTTTGTTTTAAAAAAAGTATTTTTCCCTAAATTTAGAAAGTTTAGAGCGGACGTACAAAATTTATGTCCCATGTGAACTGGACATAAAATGGACGTCCATGGGACGTCCGGTGCTATCTGGGTATTAATAGTAATATATTAATTAATAAAATACACTTTACATATATGTTGCATATATAACGAATAAATACTACAAACTATTTGATTTTTATGAAATAAGTATCGCATAAATACCAATTAAGAAAGAGACGTCGTATGATATGTAGGCTATTCGATAGATAAATAATATTTACCTTGTATCTATACTATTGGAAACGACGGTCACAACTCTCGTACCACGAGTCCGTTTATTGTAAACCATAATACTATAACAACAACGACGACGACGACGATGACAACGACGGCGTCAACAATGACAACAACAAAGACGACGACGACGACGATGGCGACGACGACAACGACAACGACAACGACAACAACAACAACAACAACAACAACGACAGTAGCAACAGCGTAATACAACTTATAAATAGTTCTCAGACAATTCAAATGTCTTTTCAGTCTGGCTGGCACTTGATGTGTAACAATTACACCTGCAACTGTTCCAACTCCTGTTACCACTCAACAATGACCATAGGGTTTCTTAAAATTTATTTAAACAAAAGTACGCAAAAACTCACGAATTGGCCCGATACATTCTTTTTCTTGTACTTTGTGGACGATACAAACGTACATGTTGGTGGCTAACTCTAAACTGTGATCCACGAGTACTTGACCAGGTAGACTGAGGACGAATAAATGAAAGTTCATAGCAGTGAAGAACATACAGTGTCTGATGGCTTGGTCGAGTTCGTCTAAGTGCACAATGACCTGGTAACAAAATATCGACGTGATTAACAATATTTAAAAACATCAATGTCATTGCGGACAATTATTCTTACTTGGTAAGCTGTGATACTAATGCCGACCATGTTAAATCCTAATTGAATCAAATAATTATTTCGGTTCAGGCTGTCCAGGAATTTGAAAAACCTCAAAACAGAATAAAATAACGAATCTAGTTGAATTCAATAAAGCGTTCAATGATAGATTCTAATTCAGTACTATTTAATTGCTACAAACCTGATGGCTTTATTGTGAGCTATGACACACTGCCTAAAGTCTTGATATCCTTTGCTTTCTGCAGCACGTTCATTTTTTGATATAGGATTATTTTCTGTTGCTTTCTGAACCTTATATCTGTATTTATCAGAATTACTCGAATAAACAAACGTTGCTTTTATTGCTACAAAAGTGATAGCTATAAATGTTGATGAACATAATGCTGAACATTTCAAATGAAATGAAAAGAAGTTGAACAGTTGCGATATACATATTTAAAACTGCTTTATATTTTATTTGTTCTATCTGTTTTTCGAGACCTTATATATGGATCAGAAGCTATAGCTATAGCTTTATAAAGTGGTGGAAACCACCCATGGAGACGACAAGGAGGGAAATATGTTTAGAACTACGCTTTTTTTGTGATTTGTATGCATTTCTTTTAGCAAGAAAGGATTGTATAAATATATAATTTAATGAAACTTTGAGAAAATTTTAAACATATATTCAAATAAATATTGTAATTTTTTTGAAGTAATTCTTCGGAAAACATGAAAGATATCAGTTGCCATCCATCGGGGGTCGCCATCAAACGTAGGTGTTTTGGATACATTCTGGAGGCAACCATAAGAGATTTAACTTTAAAGACATGTCTTTCTTCTATAAGAACTTATATTTGGAGTAATATGATTGTTTAAAGTATCTTTTTATTTAAAAAAATATTATATAATAATGGCAAAAATTTAAAACACTTTTAAAAATGCAATATTCAATTTTTTTGATGAAAATTTAGGTTCATATAGAAGAAAGACATGTCTTTAAAGTAAACTTAAATCACTATTGATTTCAGGTGAAAACTATGGTCTTCAGAATGTACGCAAAACAGCTACGTTTGATGGTGACCTCCAATGGTTGGCAACTGATATCTTTCATATTTTTCGAGGAAATACTTACAAAAAATTACAATATTTACTTCAATATATGGGGCATTCCACTACAAATTGGACGGTTTAAACGAATTTTTATTTTTGATTTCCTTAATCTTTTGGTATTTTTGAGTACCCCTCAAAAGAGGCTTCCTGGTAAATTTTGAGATTTTTTTTATCACTGGTTCAAAAAATATCGAATTTTCAAAAAACCCGCTCTTCTTTGGTTTCAGGCTCATAACTTTCTTAATAATATATTTTTTACGTGTTAACGTACGTAACATGTGTGTGATGAATATGTGGTAAATGGAGGGTGCAGGGTATAATTTTGCGGAAAAAATCCAAATACATAGAATGTCGAATGTTATATGGGTATAAACAAATGGCGAAAATTTTTTTTTATTATTAGGGCCGTCTGTACTGTTCGGAGCTACCTGCTGAAGTTATTATTTGATTCGTCTTAAACAAGTGGTAGAGAACAATTTTTCTGTTATATGAACTTTTTCTATCTGAACAATTTCAAGGTAATTTTTTGAAAAACGTTGCATTTTGGTCTCCTTTGCTCTTCCATTTCTAGTTAAATTACGGAATGCGGAGTGCATCACTACAATCAATCGTGATCGTTACTACGCAGCTATATCGTGCATCGTTCCATATGTTGTGTTTATAATTACCTACATACGGCGAATAATCCAGAAGCATGATGAACAATGACCATGTATACAGAATCTGCGGCGACTATAGTTAATATAGCTATAGTTGCACTGAACGCCGTATGGATATATATGGTATAAAAATACTCGTCACCGTTTACGAAATAATTAAGGTTTAATACTTGCTCTCGACGTCGAGTCTCATTCAGCGGTATTATGATATCCATTACAGGATGAATCAACGGAAGCGATACAAATATTAGCAAACACGATAATAAAACAACTAAAAAGTATAAAGGAAACTAACTTCATGTTAGAAGTATTCAAAATTTAACAAATTAACAGAAACGTGGAACCTTCTTTTAGAATTGATATCTCCTGCAAACATAAATCAGAAAGTCTCTTAGCATTTTACAATCTAAGGCATCATTATGTAAATTTAAGTAGGTAAAGCTTGCAGGTGTGATATTTGGCACGTACTCAACTGACTCAAAACAACGCATACCAGAATTATCAACTCTGAACTTTAATTGCTGCCTATACTTTCATGGCGAAGTTGCATGTTGCAAAATTGTATCGAACTTTTAAATTTTCATCAGCACGAGAAATTGATCCTGAACGAAGGTTACACATTTCTATAAACAAACCTTGTACATTTTAAGTTTTTCTACGAGACATATTCCTACAAGTAGTAATCCTTTTAAGGCGTGGTAGTTACCTCTTGTAGTTATTCTTATGTATATTCGTAGTTTGTAGAAATTTCAAAAAAATGCTTTACATAAACTCTTTAAATATTTTTGTTAACAGATAAGAAAACAAGAGAAATGGATATATTGTTATGTATTTTTAGCAATCAATCATTCGGACACAAAGCTTCAAATGTAAGTTCGTTATTCTTAAATTTTGTGTTTCTTCGATGATACGTACAAGTATACAGGGTGTCCTAAAAATGTTGTAACACCTTGAATGGGGTTGTTCGGGAGGTGATTTGAAACAACTTTTTCCTTAGCGAAATATTATCCGAGGCTCCGTTAAGGAGATATTAACAGAAAACCCCGACCAATCAGAGCGCGCGTATACCGTTGAAGCGCCCGCGGCAGGCGTAGACTGCGCACTAGGCGGCTTCGCTCATACGCTACCGTGGCCGCTCCAACGGCATACGCGCGCTGTGATTGGTCAGTGTTTTTCGTTAATATCTCCTCAACGAAGACTCGGAAAACATTTTCGCTAAGGAAAAAGTTGTTTCAAATCAACTCTAGAATAACCCCTTTCAAGGTGTTACAACATTTTTGGGACACCCTGTACACTTACTCCCTATACAGTTTACCACTTGTAGATAAACAACACCCTATTCAGTGTGAGTTACCTAAATTGTTACAAGTTATTTATTCGGAAACTGTTGGTTGACAAATTACTTTTTTGTCTTATATTGAACAATGTAGCTGCCAGTAAATAAGGATATTCGTAGGGACAGCGAGAGAGAGAGAGAGAGAGAGAGAGAGAGAGAGAGAGAGAGAGAGACCATTCAGCAGTTCCAATACATCACATGGAAGGACCTATCGTCCCATACAATACTAAACAAAAATTTGCTGACATCACTGATAGTGTCTGGGAAAACAACTTGTAACAGTTTAGGCAGCTTGCGCTGTTTACAAAAATCGAACAAATATTAAAAGTTTCTATGAAGTACCTACTTCTATACAATTGAGCAATTTTACTTCCTTTCTGGGTGAGTACATCTAGAAAATGGCCTTCATCATGGAGCTGTAACAGTTCCCACTCTTCTTTGACGGAGACATATATGCTTTTGAACTATAATATTATGTATTTTAATGATTTTATACATTATAACGCTCCTTTTTCAGCAGGAATGATATTACATACATTTTCTCTGTTCATTTGTAGGCTTGATAACTTAACAATAGCGTTAGCAAGTGTTACTAAATGTGGTAGACATTCGATACTTCCATCCCAATCCTTGTTGTTTAATGCTAGGTTCAAGTAGAATAACTACCAAATCGCGTGTTGCGATTGTGTAACAATATCATCTGATTATTCATTTTGATATGTAGGATTTGTCAGTTTTTAGTGTTCTTATATTTGTATACTCGTTTAATACGTTAAGCTCCACACTGATAACGTGTTAACGTTAGCAGTATTAACAGCTTTATATTCGATTAATAGCATACATTAATGAATCAGTGTGTTCCGCTTACCGAAGGTAAAATCAGGCTAAGGGTAGAGCCCACCACAAAAGTTACAGCAATTTTATTACTTTTATTTGTTTGGGTTGGAGACTGCCCCAAAAATATCATGTAGTTCTTAAGCGTTTTGTAGTAAGAAATCTCAAATATATTGGATCCTCGTTGTTCGTCTTTCTGAAGCACTAAATCATCTGAGCTTTAATTATGGAACATGTAAGCTATGTTAAAGACTCTGTCGCATCAGTGAAATGTGTGGTATAACAAAAGTAATGGTAGCATGTTAGTGCAGTCGTCTACATCGTCTACATCAAAGATGGGAATTATGACCATTTCAGGGCTCTCTCTAATTGTAAACTAGAATGGTCGTGTTGATTATCCTTGGCCTCGGATATTTTCACGGAAAATGGAACATTAAATGGTGCACAATTTCAGATTTTGAGGAAATTTGAGTACGTTGCAGTCTTTAATAGCACGTGTACTTAAACATAATTCCTCATTGAAAATGTTTAATAATAATAAACGTATTTCAAAGGTTTTCCAAAATTCCACAAAATTATGGATTTTATAGTGTTTGGAAATCAGTATTACATTTATTTCGAAAAATTATAGCGGCTGAATTAAAATACAGAGTGTCCCAAAAATGTTGTAAAACCTTGAAAGGGGTGGTTCAAGAGGTGATTTAAATTAACTTTTTCCTTAGTGAAAATGTTGTCCGAGTCTTCGTTGAGGAGATATTAACGGAAAACACTGACCAATCAGAGCGCGAGTATGCCGTTGGAGCCGCCGCAGTACTGTATGAGCGAAGCCACCTAGTGCGCAGTCCACCCCTTTCAAGGAGTTACAACATTTTTGGGACACCCTGTATAGACAAAAATGGGCCTTTGAAAGCTTATACAGAAGATAATGAAGTACCAACTAAAAATTGTTTCGGTTAAAAGAAAACTGTTTTTACCATATTTTTTTACAATTTTTTTTAAATAAATGGATAATTTTTATAGCAGCCTTAGTTTTAAAGATCTAAAGAAAATGGAGGAGATAGTCCCATTTATCCCCTTTAAGGAGAAACTTTGAAAAATATATGTCATTTTAAAATTGGTCGAATAGAAACTTTTTTAAGATTATCTGTAGAAGAGTAAAGAGTTGACATTTATGTTAACGTTATATGTTATGTCTCTCTTTGCTACGTACAGTAGGCCAGTGGCACAAGATTTTACACAAAAGCAGAATAAAAACCAAAGTGTGAAAATTAAATACTGAGTAATATCATTATCTCCTAAATTATTTCGTACATTATGTTGCAAGATGTTAAACAAATCTATGAAATTGTAGACATTTATTATTTGCAAGGAAACAAGCTGCTTTTACCGACATTTTTTTGCAAGAACTGCAATTCTTTATATCATGACAGTCATGAGCAACAATTTTTTGTATCGATCTCTCGCAATCGCACTATAACTTGCTAGTAAAACGATATTTTTAGTTGAAACAAATTCAGCCTACTTTTATCGTGTTAATTAATAGACACACAAAGTTTTGAAACAATCAGTACCATACTTATTTATAAGAAAAATTGTAGAGATTGCCTCATTTTTCGGCCGCTAAACTAGCATAACCCCTTATGTTATTCGATACGTCAAATTACCACTCTACATGTCATATTTTTTTCAATAATATGATACGTTCAATGGGAATTTTTTAAACAATATTTTAAAGGTTCAAAGTATCTCTCTATATACCTAAAAAGAAAGTTTGATTATATTCGCCACAAAGGTGACATAATAACCCCTTAATGCGTCAGGCTATGTGAGAAATGTAAAGGGAGGCAATAACAGGGTTCTCAACTCACTAGTGCATATGTCAAGCCAATCGCAGTATTGATTTCTTTACAAATTCTACTTCAAATGATGAAACATATCATTTATGAAATGTCACATCACTTTCACGTACAAAGAATAGGATATATATAGTGAAGTCATAAATTAGTCAAGGCGTGAAAGAGGGTTGATTTCTGAATACAAAACGAATAAACAGAGAAAAAAATGAGTAAATAAATATCTGGAAGTATCGTGTTTTGTATTTTACTGTCACTAACTACTGCGTCCGGAACTAAAGATGGTATAAAATTCTAAACGATGTAAGTTACAATTTTATCCCTCACAGAGGTAAGTAGAGTTGCCCCTGAAATAAACAAACAGAATCGAATTTCATTGCCTAATAAAAATTGAAATTTGTATATGTAAATTTCGTTGTATCTTTTAGGAAATGTTGTCAATAAATAGACGCGGTTTTTCCTTTAAAAATAGTCCGAACACGATCATAATTGGATGTTCGTCGAAAGTGATAAATATAATTAAAAATAGTTGAAATATGCCGTGTTTGTACTCATTTTCATTGCGAAATGTCATTAATACGTTTACATATTTATTGAAAATTAATCTATTATAAAAATAAAGTTAAATTGCGAAAAAATGAATCGAAATTTATTTTCAATTTAAAAAAAATAGAACAATATTTAGCTCACGATGGAACTTGCGCCATTAAAGGAGGAATGAACTAAACTTTTTTTCAAGAAAGAAAAGAAAAAATTTTAAACTAGCAGAAAAAATTGTTTTTTTCGAAAACTAAAAATTTTGTAGAAATTGGATGGCAGGAGTCGAGGCGCGAGTAAAATAAAATTAAACAGAGATTAAATGACACACTAATATATATTTAATAAATATTAATATACATAGAGGAACTCAGAGTGATGTTGAGATACTAAACGTAGAGAGGGAAACCCCGACAGGGCTGCCAACTGCTACGTATGCATCGCAAGGCGGTAACAAAGTTCAATTCAAATATTTCGTTTTGTAATTTTTTCGTAAAGATCATTCAAAAACAAACATTTTGAAAAATACCCGCATTATTTGATCAATTTTTTTAACAGTTACAGCTATTTAAAAAAAGAACACCGATTTTTTTAGAAATTCATATCTTTTCTTTGGTTGAATAAAAAAATTTGAAAAAAATCACAACAAAGTATTTAGTAGGGTACTGAAGCATATAAAAATTTCAGGTAAATCAAAAGAGGTCGGGCTTAAGGAAGTGGACTCCCGAGCCTTGTATGCGCTCGTACGCACTCAACAGCTCCACATCACTGTATACGTACACGGAACTGCAAGGGCTTGCGTATTGTCCTATTTTCGTCTCGACAATGCAAATTTGAGACCTCCAATAATCGTTTCCGCTAGATAAATGTTCAAACTTGTACGCAAGCTCCTATAGGTAGTCTACTTTTGCTTCTTTGTGTCATAATTAACAATATTCAGTAGCGTACGTTTCAGCAGCGTTAGTTCAGATAACGCGGCAGCACTGTCGCACCACCATATTGGTTCTTTTGATCGCGAAATATTCTGAATATTATTAATTATGATTCGTCCAAGAAAAACGCTTACGATATTACTCCTAACTTCAATATACGATTCTAAAAAACTTTGCTCAGAAAGACGATATTCAAATGAATTGTAATGTTTACTAGATTTGTATAGATAGTATTCAATGTATAAAATAAGTCAAAATGTTAACAACTTTTTAAATAATAGGGTCTGGTTGGGAAGTACATTTAAGTAAAATTGTAACTTTATGGTTATAAAAAATTGTCCGCAATTGTCCAAGGTTTAATTGCTATTACAGGAAAGAGTGAACCATCCTCTATCAGATTCTGCAAAGATCGGGTGCTCCTTCATGCCCCTTTTTGAAAAATTGGTGATTGTACTTAGTGGGACTCATACAGAAAATGGTATGTACGTTTGTACGCTTACTTCTATGATTATTACGTACATCTTGTCATTTTTAAATTACTAAATACATTCCTGTCATATTTAGTAAGAGGTTTGAGTCGAATTTTGGTTAAATAACAATAAGTATGTCAAACAAGTGAAAGATATTGACGCGTTACACTTTATATGTGAATATTTGGACACCCTGTAGCTCTAATTGATTTATGCTCATACAATTTAAGTATCATAGTATAGGGAATAAGTTCCTAAAATTTCATTAAAATATTTTCAAGAGAACCAAAGTTACGGATTTTTGATTGCCGATAGCCGTTTTGTCCCACTGTGCGCCGGGGACTACGGAACGCCAGCGCCGGTGAAACTTTTTGGAACTATAAACGTCGTGGCAAACCTGGTATAAAGTAAACTGGAGGGCGGCGGTCTCCTTCTGCGAGATAACCTCTTCGCAGAAGGAGGTCGTAGAGCGGGATCGAGAGACTGCCGATCCAGCTCGACGGTCCCGGGAGCGGCGGCGATCTGGCAGGGGTCACCTCATCGGGTCCCCGGGATAGGGATGGCGACTGCTGGTGGGGTGAAATCAACCTCCGCCGCCGGCTGATCACTCTGGAGGGTGACAAGAGATGGGGAACGGCATATATAACCACTGTCCCCCCGGGCGGCCGCGATACCCAGGGCGGGGGCCATGTGTATATAACCTGTACAGCTCATTGCTGGTTAGTTGGCTCGCGGCAGGTCGGCACCCCCACCCGCACGCATCTTCGGTCCTCTAGAGAGAGGGACGCTCGGTCCGCCTAAACCACCCCAGATTCTCCCATTTTTTTGAGTAGCCAAGCTGCATAGGCATAATAATGCTGCAAAATGCTTATTTTTACCTAGCCAATACCACGAATACACGAAGATGCATGCGGGTGGGGGTGCCGACCTGACGAGCCAACTAACCAGCAATGAGCTGTAGAAAGCGGCCGCCGAGATGGAGCAGTGCGGGGCACGGCCTCCCTGCACTGCAGAATGGAAGGTGATAGGGAGGGTCAATATATCCCCCCCTCGGGGCACGGCCGGCCATCAAAGGCTAGATGACCGATCGAAGGCTAGGGGGAATCGCGGTAGTGTTCTGCAAGAGTTCCCGTGACTCCCCCGATACGCCAGAAGCCGGAAGGGCGTCCGAGGGTCGCCGTGGAGTTTAGTGGGTATTCCCCTATCCCCCCTCAGAGGGGCGAGTCCCACACTACCCCCCTCCCATTCGAGGGGGGGTGTACGTAGAAGCATTCTCCACGTAAAAAAAAAGTCTGGTATAAAGTAGGATATTACCATGTGATTTGAGGAGAAGGCGCGGAATACAATTAGTCATCGAAATGCAGAAAATGAACTTCATTTTCAAATCTCCTCTACATCATCTACGAAAAAAA